CTGAGAAAGCTTTCGACAAAGTGCAACACCATTCATGATAAAAGCCCTTGAAATTCTTGGGATACAAGGAACATACCTCAACATCATAAAGGCCATCTATGACAAGACAACAGCAAGTATCATTCTCAATGGTGAAAAGCTGAAAGCAATTCCATTAAGATGTGGAACAAGACAAGGATGTCCACTCTCACCACTGCTTTTCAATATAATACTAGAAGTCCTAGCCAGAGCAATAAGACAAGAGAAAGACATCCAAGGAATCCAAATAGGAAAAGAAGAAGTCAAACTATCACTATTTGCAGATGATATGATAATATACATAGAGAACCCCAAAAACTCCACAGAAAAACTAATTCAACTCATCAATCAGTTCAGTAAAGTGGCAGGATACAAAATCAACACGCAAAAGTCAGTAGCCTTCCTATACACAAACAATAAATCTGAAGAAGAAGAAATCAAAAAAAAAATCCCTTTTATTATTGAAACAAAAAAAGTCAAATACTTGGGAATAAATCTAACAAAAGAGGTAAAGGACCTATACAAAGAAAACTATAAAACACTGTTAAAAGAAATAGAAGAAGACACAAAGAAATGGAAAGACATCCCCTGCTCATGGATAGGAAGAATAAACATTATTAAAATGGCCATCCTACCAAAAGCAATCTACAGATTCAATGCTATTCCAATCAAAATTTCAATGTCATTCTTCAAAGAAATAGAACAATTATTGATGAAATTCATATGGAATCACAAAAAACCCTGAATAGCCAAAGCTGTGCTGAAAAAAAAAAAGAAGGAAATGGAGGCATCACACTCCCAGACTTCAAACTACACTACAAAGCCATAATCATCAAAACTGCATGGTATTGGAACAAGAACAGACATACAGACCAATGGAATCGAATAGAAAATCCAGAAATAAACCCACAGATTTATGGTCAACTAATCTTTGACAAAGGAGCAAAGACTATGCAATGGAGCAAAGAAAGTTTGTTCAATAAATGGTGCTGGGAAAACTGGGTCGCTACATGCAAAAGAATGAAGCTTGACCACTACCTCACACCATACACAAAAATCAACTCAAAATGGATTAAAGAACTAGACATAAGACCTGAAACCATAAAATACATAGAAGGAAATATAGGCGAAACACTACGTGATTTGCATATCAAAGACATCTTTACAGACACATCACCCAAAGCAGTGATAGTGAAGGCAAAGATAAACACCTGGACTACATCAAATTAAAGAGCTTCTGCACAGCAAAACAGACAATAACAAAAACAAAGAGAAACCCCACCAACTGGGAGAACATTTTTGCACACAACACTAATGTTAAAGAACTGATCACAAAAATCTGCAAAGAGCTGATGAGACTCAGCTACAACAAAGAAAATAATCCAGTCAAAAAATGGGCAGAAGAGCTAAAAAGTAACTTCTCTGAAGAGGAAATGCAAATGGCCAACAGACATATGAAAAAATGTTCAACATCACTTGTAATCAGGGAAATGCAAATCAAAACTACCATGAGATTCCATCTTACACCAGTGAGAATGGCACATATTAAAAAAACTAGCAACAACAAATGTTGGCGAGGTTGTGGAGAAAAAGGAACTCTTCTACACTATTGGTGGGAGTGCAAACTGGTCCAACCACTTTCTGGACCTACTAAACATAGAGCTTCCATATGATCCAGCAATTCCACTCCTAGGTATCTACCCAAAGGACACAGAAACATCAATTCCAAAGAACACCTGCACTCCTATGTTTATAGCAGCACTATTTACAATAGCTAAGCTTTGGAAACAACCCAAATGCCCCAAAATAGATGACTGGATCAAGAATATGTGGTACATATATACCATGGAATATTACTCAGCATTCAAAAAAGATAAACACATGCAATTTGCAGCAACATGGATGGCGCTGGAAGGGATCATGCTCAGCGAAATAAGCCAAAAAGAAAAAGAAAAATACCGGATGGTCTCACTCATAACAGGAATCTAGATGACTTAAATAAGGGACCAGGAAAATGAATAACTATAAGAAAGTGAAAATCAAAATCAACAAAAAACTATGAACCAGAGACACTTTTGGGGGGTGGGGGGCGGGAGGGGAGGGATTGGGGTCAGAATGGGGGGTTTGCAATTGTATGGGGGAATATAAAAATAAAATTTATTATTTAAAAAACATAAAAATAAAATTTCAATTTCTATCTTCTGTTTGTTGATTATTTCTCATAGCATTCTTTTCATTTTCTGCATCTTCACAAATATCTCTGATTTGATTTTCTGAGTTTTCTTTGTGTTGTTCTAATTCTTTGCTTTTCTATTTATAACAATTTTGAATTCTTCATCTAACAAGACAAGGAATTCTTCATGTCAGTGTTGTTGAGTTGTGGAGATTAGGTTTCTCCCCCTCACTGCCCTTTGAATTGTTTTTTTTTTTCCTCTTTTTTAAAAATTTTATATATTTTTACATAATTTTTCATTTTTTTGTACAATGTATGCATTTTGTCTTGGTTATAGTCCCCATAAAATCCCCACCACCCTTGTTTTGATCCTACTCCCTTCTCCCCCGCTGTAGTGTGTCTCTGGTCTATAGTTGCCTGCTAATGACTGGATTAAGGAGATTAGTTTTCTTTCTGCAGTATATTGTTCCTCTGAGAGCTTTCTTGACCATTTGTACTATTCTTTCTTCCCAGTGTTTATTTTTGAGTTTGCTGTGCTATAGATGGGGCTTCTGCTGGGCATGGATCTCTCTCTCTCACTAATCTTGGTTTTCACCTGGCAGTGGCTACAGTAACTGAGGACTTCATGGCAGGTTCCAGATGATCACTGTTCCTGGTAGTCCAAGCTGGGGGTGGCTGGGGCTTGTGAGTGGGAACCTTCATCAGTTTTTCTTTTGGTGCAGGTTATCTGGAAGAGCTGTGGGCTGGCTGACTGTGCTGTGGGTTTGCTTTTGTGTTTTGTTTTAATTGTAATTTTAGGAGAATTTTTTTTAACTAGGAAAATTCTCTCAGATCTGTGTTTAGGGATTTGAGAAGGCAAATGAATCTATGAAAATGAACGTATGTATGATATTTCTAGTTTTGCAAAGATTTTTACATGGAAGTTTATGTTGTTCAGTTATTATCAAAATATTGCTTGGAAGACAGACAAATGGATTTAAGTAATGAAGGAAAGAAGGGCCTCCCTGGTGGCGCAGGGGTTAAACACAGTGCTGTCAAGCTAGCACCAGCCACTGCAGCACAATTTCGATCCCTGGCCGGCCAGGGAGCAACCCACATGGTACAACAGACCTCTCCTGTTTTACCCACTGCTCCCCTCAGCAATATATTTCAGTAGATCTGCCTGTTCTGCTCCCCACTCTGTCTCTGGTGAATCTGCTCACCCACTGCATCTCTGGTCTACACTGCAGTTCTTATATGCATTAATAAATAAATCTCAAAAATTAAAAAATAAACTCATTTAAATAAAAAATGAAGTAAAGAAGCATAAACTGCATGTTCATTTCATACAGAATATTTTTATATAAGGACTCATCAATAATATGACAGATAGATGATGGCATTGTGAGGTAAGGATAAGAACAATGCAGAGTAACGAAATCCTGAGGGAATTTTGATAAATTTTAACATTTATGAAGACAGAGTAAGAAATACATTCTTTTTTTTTTTTTTTTTTTAAAGTTTTATTTATTTATTTATTTATTTATTTGTTTGTTTGTTTGTTTATACATGCACTGGGTACAGTCAGAAGCGCGGGAGGGTGAGAGAATTCACCAGAGCCAGAGCGGGGAGCAGAGCAGGCAGAAGGACCGAAGTACACTGCTGAGGGGAGCAGCGGGCGGCAGGAGAGATCTGCGCGCCATGTGGGACCCTCCTCCGGTGGCCGGGGAGCAGCCGGGGATCGAACCGGCGCTGCAGAGGCCGCGGGCAGCTTCGCAACCCAGCGCTCAACCGCTGCGCCACTGGGGAGGCCCCAAGAAATACATTCTTGAACTCTACATGGTTGACCTGTAAATCTGGAGGATCACTAGACACCAGTGCCTCAAAAAAGTTAGGAATAAAACATCATCTGTCTGCTTCCAACTCTGGTGGTCTTTCCCCACCTTTTAGACCTACCTCCTGAACCTGCTGTTCCTCCAACACCTTCCTATTTCTTGTGTCCAGAGACTACAGTTCTTATGCCCCAGTCCTGATACAGATGAGGGAAATGTGTGGTGGCCACTTATGTTCAGAACTTTAAGGGGTCATTTACCTGACATATACCAAGAGTGACTGTAGTCCATTTATAAATCTCTAGTACTGTAAAATATATCTGCAAGTAGAAGGAGAACTTGAAACCCATCAGCAGACCCTACTGGAGGTCTGCTCCAGTAAAGAGGGAAGAACATATATGAAAATCTACTCTGAGGCATAAACATGAAGCAAGAAGCTTGAAAGTTCACAGCAGATAGCACGATATGCTAAGGACAATTTACAAAGGACAGACCCTGTCATTATAGGTAGGTGTGTGTAGATTTCTGTCTCTTATGTATAATAGGGAAAGGGAAAAAATTATCATGGAGTTTATTGAGAAAACATAATACACAGGGGTAGGTAGTATGGGTGAAAGTGCTGAGAAAAGAGCTTACTTATGAAAATGATTTTTCCACAACAAATAGAGGAAAAACAGAAACAACAAGCTTGAAAAACAAAGCACAAGATGATTCATTAAAAAAACTAAGTAAGTTATATGTTGTTTATCTGTAACAGAAATTAGGTCTCCTGCAATACCCAGCTTGTGGTATTTCTTACCCCCATGCCTCTGTACAGCCTATCCTCTCTGCCAGCTCTGTCTTCTTCCCTCTCAGGCCTGGCAAAATTATATTCATGCTTCCTGGTTCTTCTATTTTAAGATTCATGTGTATCTACCTATTTATAATCTAACAGGAAAAACAGAAAAATAAAGAAGCACCAGAGTTAGGTCTGACTAAAGATGAAGAAAGGGACTTACAGGAGCTGCTGAATTTTTGACAGTGACACTGGGGGTGGTAGCTCGCAGGGCTCCACTCACTCCATGGTAGTATTTGAAGCAGATCTTAGTTTCAGCTGAAAGACAAAAATAAAATGGTATTGAAAAGCAGAGTATATCCTAGTAAGAAATATTTAGGGCCACAATGGCATAGCAGGCCTCTCCTGCCTCTCCCGCAGCTCCCCACAGCAGTGTAATTCAGTAGATCTGCCTGTTCTACTCCCCACTCTCTCTAGTGAATCCTCTAACCCTCACCCCACATCTCTGGTCTACACCCCAGTTCTTGTATGCATAAATAAATAAATATCTTTTAAAAATCTAAAAATAAAAGAGAAATATTTAGGGCCCAAGAGGACACTCCCAAGAAAACAACCTAAATCCTCTTGTGATCCAAGCAGGTCACATCTGACAGTGATGTTCAACATGCAGCTGTATGAACAATTCTGACTTCTTTCTAAGATGATGTTATAAAAATATTTAGGTGCCCAAGCCAAATCCATTATGTACATTTTCCAGCATCCATCTATTCCACTAGAGGCTATTACTTCTAAATCCTTTGTTCTAAGATTTTATTTTATTTTTTAAAAATATTTATTGATTTATTTATTTATAGAAGCACTGGGTCAGTCAGAGAAGCGGGAGGGTGAGAGAATTCACCAGAGCCAGAGTGGAGAAGAGAACAGGCAGAGTGACTAAGTACACTGCTGAGGGAAGCAGTGGGTGGCAGGAGAGGTCTGCATGCCATGTGGGACCCTTGCCTGGCAGCCAGGGATTGAACTGGCACTGCAGAGGCTGCAGGCAGCTTTGCAACCCAGCACTCAACTGCTGCGCCACCAGGGAGGCCCTGTTCTAAGATTTTAGATGGTTTGATTTCTTTTGTAATTTCCTGCTATATGTGAGTAATATCTTGGGAAATTTGGAGAAAGATTTTTGGAAGTCATTGGAATACATATTTTCTAAGCTCTGCATCATATTTTGCTTCTCTTCAAAGTTCTATAGATGTAGGCAGAAAAAGATATGACCTTGGAGGTCCACACTGCTTTGGTTTATTTTCAGCTTCATTACTGACCAACCTGTAAGACAATAAATAAATCATTGCACCTCCCTGTGACTCATACTTTCTTTCTTCCTTAATGACAGAATCTCTAATTTTATTTTGGATGGTAATACCCAAAGTAATATATATTACGTCCTCATGTTCTTAGTATAAGTCCCTGCTATTTGCATTGCATTATATTCAATTTGTTTCTAAGCTTGATTAGCTATTTTGTGTTCTTCTGTAAATTAATAAATTAGTGTTTTTGTGCTTTTAAAAATCATTTAAAAAGTTTATCCCGGGCCTCCCCGGTGGCGCAGCGGTTGAGTGCTGGGTTGCGAAGCTGCCCGCGGCCTCTGCGGCGCCGGTTCGATCCCCGGCTGCTCCCCGGCCACCTGAGGAGGGTCCCACATGGCGCGCAGACCTCTCCTGCCGCCCGCTGCTCCCCTCAGCAGTGTGCTTCGGTCCTTCTGCCTGCTCTGCTCCCCGCTCTGGCTCTGGTGAATTCTCTCACCCTCCCGCGCTTCTGACTGTACCCAGTGCATGTATAAACAAAACAAACAAACAAACAAATAAATAAATAAATTAAATGCCTCTATTAAAAAAAAAAAAATATTTAAAAAGTTTATCCCTTTCCCTTGCCCCATCCTTCTTAATCTCAGAACCCTCAGGATTTTTATTGATGTCCACTCATTTTTGAAAGTACATTACGTTATCAGATCATCCGCTATGTAGATATTCATATTTGTTTTTTAGTTCTGATTTCCTTTGCTACACATAATACTCTCAACTTCCCTCCATTTTGTAGAAAATGAAAGCATTTCATAATTAGGGCTATCTAATGCTTCATGGTAGATATACCAGCTCTACTTGATCCAATCATCCATCAAATGGACATTGAGGCTGCTTCCATGTACTAGCTATTGTAAATAATGCTGCTATGAATGTTGTGGAACATAATGATTTTTGTGTTGATGGTTTCATATTCTTTGGATAGATGCCCAATAATGGGATTGCTGGGCCCTATGGTATTTTCCATTTTTATATTTTTAAGATAAATCCAGAATGCTTTCCATAATTGGTTACATGAGTTTACATTCTCACCAAAAGTATAACAGGGTTCTATTTCATCACATCCTCTCCAACACTTGCTGTTGGCGGTCTTTTTAGTATGTACCATTCTTGCAGCTGTGAGGTGGTATCTCATTATAGATTTGGCATGTATTTCTCTTATTAAAAGTGACAATAACCATTTTTCTTTTGACCTACTGAATATCCTCTATGGGGAACTGTTTGTTAATAGCTGATGCCCATTTGTTAATTGGGATGTTTATTTTTTATGGTTGAATTCTGTGAGTTTTTATATATATGGGATATTAATCCCTTATCAGTTATATATTGTGTGAATATTTTTTCAGTTCAGTAAGGTGTCTTTTTAATCCTCTTTATTTTCTTTTGCTGTATAGAAGCGTTTTAACTGGAGGTAATCCTAATCTTTATCATTGATATGATGGAATATATCATCACTATTCCTTCTATGGATTTTACTGCTGTGGGTTTTATATATAAATTGTCAATCTATTTTGAATTCATATTTTTACATGATGTTAGTGTGTAATCCAATCTCATTCCTTCCTGGGTGTTTTTCCAATTTTCCCAGTACCATTTATTTAAGTGACTGTCCTTTCTCCATTTCATAACTGTTTTATCATAGGCTAGATGCTGGTATGTACATGGATTTATTTCTTGAATTTTGATTCTATTCCATTGATCTATCTATCATTTTTTCTGTGTGCCAATATCATACTATTTTTAATATTGTTGCTTTATAGTACAGTTTTTAAGTCAGGTAATATGACATCTCCATTTTTCTCCATCTTTCTCAGGGTTACTTTTATAATTGGAGGCCTTTTGTGGCTCCATTTACATCTCAGTACTTTTTTTTTTAATTTCTTTGAAAATATTGCTGGTATTTTAAGTTAAATTTATATATCATTTAGGTTGATTAGCCATTTTGATTATGTTGATTCTCCTAATTCATAAGCATGGGATATCCTTCTATCTACTTATGTCACTAAGTCCTTTCAGATTATATAGGTCTTTTACTTCCTTGAGTTGATTCTGGGCTTTAAATTCTGTTTTGAAGCTCTTATAAATGGAGTTATTGTCTTAATTTGCTTTATGCTCATTGTTTATAAAAAGGGCTATGTGCTTTTTTTGTATGTTGATTTTGTATTCTGCCTCCTTGCTGTATCATTTATTGTTTCTAAAAACTTTTAGATGGAATCTTTAGGATTTTCTCTATATAATATCATATTGACTCTACTCACAACATAGTAGACCAGAGAGGTTGGGATTACTCTCTCCCTATAAAAACATAAGAGTCATTCCTGTCCTGTCTATGGAGTCCCAGAACTTCCTCAGAGATCTTGAACTAAGGTTGAGGGGAAGGAATGGGAGGAAGCAAAGGGAAGTGTGACTGGGCTGGAGTTACCTAAGCCATGATGGAGAAATCTAGGAAATTGTGAAATTCCCTAGAGGAACTCTGTTGACACACAAATGGGCAAAACAGACCCTATCTGGGACAGTAAGAACTCTACAGACACAGACCCAGGATATTGGGAATTCCACAGTTGGTCCATATGGGCACCAAAAGTTCTTTCTGCCTTCTCTTGAAAGAGATCAAAGAGATGTCAGGCTAAGCCCAACAGCAAAGAGAAGGACTTATAAAATAACTCACAAATCTTTTGTGAAAGTGAACAGATATTATAGCCCTGCAGATGGTGCCAATGGCCATTATGATAAAACAGCACATATGCACCCACCAAACACATAATGCCACCTTCTGGGCAAGTGAAAGTTAGACCTGGAACATGAGGCTGAGATTACATATATAGTACCTCCCACAGGAGTATCAAGATTCATAGATCCATGCAGTATGGAGGTGGGGTGGGAAGTTTAGACAGCCTAAGCACAGAATATAGTTTGCTGTGGGATGAAAGAAGAAACGATAGAGGAAGCCAACTCCACTTCAACTCAGATCTAGTATTTATGCCCCAGATTCCCCTCTCCTTTCATCCCCACCTCATACAAAGGTAAACAAACAAAATTAATTCACGAGGGTCCCAACCACACACACAGGCGCAAATAGCAAAATAAGGCAACACACATACTTGGAAGCTAGGAATATCAAAACGTATAAAAACAAAGTGACAAGAACGTAAGTGCTGGGACAAATATAAAGGATACAGAATTAGAGGATCTATCAGACAAAGACTTCAAACAACAATTAAAAATACTTAATGAACTACTGGAAGGAAAGAAGATGCAGAAACAAAGAGAGCTCTTTCACAAAGAGATTGATTGTATAAAAAGATCACAAAAAGAAACTGAATAAGGGCTTCCCTGGTGGTGCAAGGGGTTAAGCACTGCACTATGAAGCAATCCACAGCCTCTGCAGCACGAGTTCGATCCCCAGTTGGTTCAGAGAAACCCACATGGTGAAGCAGACCTCTCCTGTCTCGCCCGGTGCTCCCCTCAGCAGTGTATTTCAGTCAGTCTGCCTGTTCTGTTCCCCACTCTGTCTCTGGTGGATCCTCTCACCCCCCGCATCTCTGCCTGTAACCCAGCTCTTGTATGCATAAATAAAGAAATCTTTTAAAAAAAAGAAACTGAATGAAATGCAGAGAAATTTAGAAAGTACTGCAAATAGAATTAAAGTGGAAGAAAGAATTTCAGGGGTAGAAGACTCAAATGAAAAAAATCACCCACTTGGAGAGAGAGTCAAGACAAAGGAAAAATAACTTTGAGATATATCAGATTCAACTAGAAGAGAAAACTAGAAACTTAATGGTAAAAATATCAAAAATCAAGTATAAAGAAAATTGGCGGGAAGCAAAATGAATAATTCACAAGTGTTTCCAAATCAGGCTTTCCATGTGACTTCAACCCCGACACTCTTCTTCCAGGCAAGAAGAGAGAGGAAAAAAATGTTCAAAATCCGGAGGGGCGGAGCAACATGGCGGCGAGGAGACGCTGCGA